GGTTCACAGCCTTCAGTGACCTTCAGTGTTTCCGACCATGCGGTTTCGGAGTCTTTCGGATCCCAATCCGGAAGCCGAGAAACACCTACTCTACCTAATCCCCTTGTGCATTTCTTCATGCCTCGTCTCCATGTCATCTGCTGGCCTCCGCGTGGATTTCTCCAGCCTGCAACAGCCAATGCGAATAAGGCGCGCTGCGGTTGGCGACCGTCGGACATACGCAAAACGTGNACCAACGAAACCTATTCAGCTGAATTCGATGCGATAGCGAGTTCTTGTTCGATGTATTTCCAAACACCCGACGATTTAATTCCAAGTTACTAACCCCCTCACTTCATCCCACTTGGGCCAGAATACGTAGGCATCGATTGTCGAACACCGCTAAACGACGGATGTCTTATATCGTACAGTGGCGCAGTATACGCGACTTTTCAACTTCAGTGAAACGGCACGTCGCCGCCACAGGTGTTTAAGTCCTGCGTATGCTGCTCGAGCCTTGGAAATGCGGGTGGTTGCCTCCTTTGATGCGCTCTGTCGTTGGTCACACAGTTACCTACGTACGAAAAGCAGTCAACCACAGCTATTTCCTGACCGTCTAGTTGCAGAGAAGAACTCGACAACACCCAGTCTTGTAGCATAACTTTGCACTTTGAAGGTGCAAACCACAGGCCGAACGGAGCGACAGAACTTGTTAATTTGTCAAGTGCTCTTTGTGCATCCTCCATACATTCGAATAAGCAAACGATGTCCTCAGCGTACACCAAATCGCACAGCTTTTCTCCAGCTGCCCATTCAATACCTACATTTTGGAGACCACTTAGTGTGTTCTCCAGTATTTTGTCTATGACGAAATTGAACAGGAATGGCGAAAGAGGGCACCCTTGACGAACACCGCTGCTCGTGACGAACGACTTACTCAGCTCGCCGTAGACCCTTGCGCTACCAGAAGTATGCGAATGGAGTGAACTCAATATGTTTACATACTTCTGCAGCATTCCTTTGCGAAGAAGCGAACCCATAAGGGATTCACGGTCAACTGAGTCGAAGGCTCTTTTTAGGTCAAGGACAACCGTTGGTCGACGGTGCGTATGGTGTAGTTCGAGGACTTGACGTAGGGTGAAGATCTGATCGATACAACCGCGACCTGGTCGAAATCGTGCTTGTTGTTCGCGGATCTTTGTCTCCCTAAACGGTGTCAGATGTCGAAGTATGATGGAAGCTTGTAACCTGGTGACGATTGGGATCAAGCTTACTCCACGGTGGTTTGCGCAGTCGTTGCGAGATCCCTTCTTAAAAATGGGAACAATCAATGATTCGCTCCAGGATGATGGAATACTCTCATGTGACCAGATATTACGCGTTAGATCACTAATGGAGTCTACGAGGTCATCGCCTCCCAATTTGAAAAGAGTGGAGGGAAGCCCGTCCGGTCCTGCTGCTTTTTCTTTCCTCATGGCTTGGATGCATGATCGAACTGCTGCAATAGGAGGTTCACATGAGACTTCCCATGGAGCCGCAACTACAACAGACGATTTAGTCCGGTTAGCACCTGGCCAGCTGAACTGTTCGTTGAAGTGCTCCGCCCACCGGTCAAGTCGTTGTTCCCTATTGTGAATAGCTTGTCTACTTTGTCGCAGATTGTTTCACTAACTTTGGTTCTTCGACCTCCAGTGTTGCGTATCAGTTGGAACAGTCTTTGACTGTTGCCCGATGTAGCTGCGACTTCCATTTCACTAGCTATCGTTGCCCACCAGTTCTCACGATCTTTCTAGAGGCTCTTCTTGAGTTGTCGTTGCAGACGCCACCCCTGCCTTGATCCCGGGCGGTGGGGATTTGCCGCTTTTTCTCCATCAGTGCTACTGAATCATCAGATATCCAATGCCTCGTGCGGGCTACCGCTTCAGACCCACAAGCAACTCTCGCAGCGGAGTGCACTGCTCGGCTAATCTGATCCCATTGTTCATCTACACTATCACCCCGCCGAGCGTTTAGCTCTTGTCCTAGTTCTGATTCAAAACGGGTACGAGCAGCTGGGTCAGATAAACGATGATCTATCAACCGTGTTGGGTGGGTATTTTGTGACCAGTGAGTTGGAGAGTGAACTGCATCAACACTAATGCATGACCAGATTCAACGCAGGTGGTCCAATGGGACCTGCAGTTTTGTACTGAGCGACGCCAACGGTAGCTCACTGCTATGTGGTCGAACTGAGTTAGCATACCAGTTAAATTGGAGCGCCACGTTGCTGTCCGTTGAGAGCTGTGACGGAAGTTGGTGCTGGATAGGAACAGATGATGATCTGCGCAGAACTGAAGAAGTCGATCGCCGTTATCTGTTCGTTGGCAGGGCAGAGCACAATGACCGCCTGGGCAAGCTTCTCCGACTTGAGTGTGAAAATCACCTGTGAGAACAACTATATCGAAGCTTCGACTCAACGGAATGAGCTCGGTGAGTTTATCATAAAAGTCGTCCTTTTGTGCGTCAGAACTGAAATTCGTCGGAGCATACGCTGAAATGATGAACAGACACCTTTTGGTGTTCCTTCCCTTCCGGACGCTGATGGACCCTTGGAGACGTATCGCACATAAACGACTATTGACGGGGATCCAATCGGGTAATGCAGCTTCAGTTCTATTATTGAGTACAATGCTCACGCCACGCTGGCCTACTGAACGGGCCTC